TATATAGAAAAAGTATAACTTCTATAGTTAACTTATAGAGTATATAAAGGGGATTTTTAAACTACTTAGCTAAGTAAAAATAGCTTTTTATTATACTATAGCTTAAATTTAAAGCTTTTTAAAATAAATTTTATATATACTTTCTATTTAATTAATATAATTTTTATTATTAATAATATTAAATATTTAAAAAAGATTAGTTTACTATATATTTAATAATAACTTAGTTATATCTTTTTAGCTAAGAATAATAATATAGTATTTTATATTTCTTTATAATATATATTAAGTTCTTAGAAAATCTTTAGAACTAAGTTCTTTATTAAATTAAATAGAGATTTAAAAAGATTGCTAAGAACTTAAAAAATAAAAATAATATAAAAGAGATTAATAAAATATTTAATAAGAAGTATAGTAAATAGCTCTAAGAACTAATCGCTATTATTACTTTTATCTAAAGATATAGTAGTTAAAAAGATTAGCTTAGGTTAGGGTAGAGGAAAAAAGGGTCTTTATATTCCCTATAGTTATATAAAAATTTATAAAAGAATTCTTTATAAAATGTCGGAGGTCACTCTATCGCTAGTAATAATGGAAACCCTTTCCAGCTGACAACCACCGGCTACGTCACAATCTCAACGATGCTGGCAATGGCGCGTCGCATCGCGCACTTCGAGCAGTCTACTCCAAGTATCATCTTTCGGTCCCTGAAATCCATCATCCGAATCAGGACTTCATTCTACGAACAGTACCATTCTTTTCCGACGTCTCAGCTGGATTCTGACCTCGAGAGAAGCAACATGTGCCACAGGGTCTTCATCTATGCCCTTTCTATAGTTTCCAATATTCTGAGAGGCCAAAATTGGGAGCGCTGCCAAAGTCTCGAGGACGACGAGCCTCTCGGAGGAGTCGAAAACCTCGGGACCATGCTCGGCAATATGTTCACTGCTCTATCGTCTCATCCAAATGGTTCGGCATCAGACCATGAGTCACAAGAGGCGTCGTCAATGCATGTCCCTGCCCAGAGGCAGGCTCAGAAGAAATACAAAAGGGTGAGAAAGCCAGCGAAGAGAAAGAAGGGAAAGAAACACGACGTCTCGAGAGCCCTCAAGACTGGCCCTTGCAACCGCGTGTCCCTTACTGACTGCGATTATTGATTCCTTCGGAAGCTGCTCCATGGCTACACTCGCTTTGACTCAGGAGTGGTCTTCACTGAGAACGTACGTACAGGACATCTGGCTCGAGGTCGCTAAGGAGGGGTTCAATAGCGTCGTCGCAGCAGAGCAATCAAACATGGCGCTTTCCATGATCCAGCAAGACCAATGACTATTTTCGCCGAGTTCCCCAACCGTGACGGGTACGCAAATTTACTCCGCACTTTCCGGGCTGAACCGAAGGAGAACACCCGCTCTTGAGGACGCAACTGGTATGCAGTCTTTCGGGTGGCCACTCTCTATGGTCCCGACAAAGCGTATTGGGGAATAGAGTCAGGCTGGGTGGACATGGCCGAGCAGTCTATGGTTCGTGCATACTGTGACTTGTTAGATTTCATCGCCGACTACCGCAAAAGTCGGAACGGGAAGCCCACCAAGGCGATGCAAATGGGGATCCGTGATCGGGAACCGAAATTGGATCTACAACAAGCCACAAAAGCCCAGAGACTAGCATGGCGTCGTCAATACACGATCAAGTGGCTGTATGATCTAGTAAACTTCTATGCGCTTCCAGCCTTTGAGATTCGAGTGTCCACAGACGGCCAGCTGGCTTTGGAAGATCTTAATTGGTATTCTGGCGGTGTTTATGGAAAGGAGAAAAGTCTTATTGGACTAAACTTTGCAAGCTTTCTCACTGGCCTCGTCATGAAGAAGTTGGGGACCCCGCATGAGAGCAAGGTTCTTCCACACCATGTATTCTAGCTGCAATGCATTGTCGACTCCTTCACAGTCTCTTGTGGTTAGTCTATCCCCATCCCAAAGGCCATGTGTTGGAGCCCCCGCGTTCTTCCACAATTGGACAGAGGAAATCAGGGAGTTTGTGTATGGGAACAAAGCTAGCCATCGTGGAGGATACATAATTACAAGGGGCAAGTGCGCTGAAGCAGCTTCTTTGGGAAAAGCATCAAGTTAGCCGGGGCTTCGACGATTACAACTTCACGAATGAAATGATCAAAAATCTGGAATCAGAGCTTTCCCAGTGGCTTACCCCAACAAGCTCACAGAAGTCTGTGGCCTCGCCGCGCAAGTTCCCACCGCTGGTTGCAGAGGCCTTTTGCAGCACTCGCCTTGGCTTTGCGGTAATAGCTTGATCGAAGGTCTGGATATGGCGTTTTGTACAGTCATGATCATCTGGGAATCCATCCCGGAGCCCATGATGCTCACACTCTTCCATAATATATTGGTCTAAGAGGGACTGTTGGAAGGGATTGAGATTCTTGGCAAGATGAAGTTTACTTTCCTGACTCAATCCGAGTAGACGGATGCCCAGTTTCAGACCGTTTCTCAAAGTGGATGAAATCTATGTCAACGTGCCCAAGGAACCGCAGCGGTTCTCAAGCTCCGAATCAGCGGGGTCTCAATGGTCGCTCCACCGCCGATAATCCCAGCCCGCGACTTTGTTATTCAACCAAGTCGCAATTGATGGTCTACGGCGAAGCTGCATGGAACTTACAACGTGTTCCTGACTCTGTCCTCCGGCCACTACGGAATCTATGGCGGCTCCGATTCAGTCAAACGCCCGTGCACATGGACTCAGTCACAGGAAAGCAGAAGCTCCAAGACACACCAATTGTTTGCCGGCTTCGCGACCTCCAGTTTCCGGAGGGCTGCATCCCTGAACTTTTCAAACAGGCCAGCGAATCTGCAACGGAGATCGTTGCCAGTCGAGCCAAACCCTTGAATCACTCACGGAACTTGAAAGGCGAAATCCTTCAGAACGTCAGGCTAGATGTACACGCCTATCCGCAGGCCAAAGCGACACACCTAGGAACTTTGAGTCTGGCAGATGTACCGAGGACGGATATGATCAGCTCAGTTCATGTCGTGTTGTCAGACATCGAGAAAGGGCTGGGCTCAATGAAGAATCCACTTTATGCCCACGTCTACGACAACCAAAGTGGTTTGTTCAAGTCTGAGCGTGTGGAACTAACTTGGGTGGTCTATTTAGAGGCCGTCGGGGTTGTTGGCGGGGGATTGCGGACTCTCTTCGGGGTCGAACCTGTCTGTTTCCAATCACAGCATCTGGGAGGAGCTGGATACCGACTCGAACAAGCTCAACGAGGCGCATGAGTGTCCAACGAAGGACGACAGATGTTCCGTCACGTTGTACATCTTGATCTGGTAATCGCACACTTTAGAATGGGAATGAAATAATGACACTCTGCACGAGACAAATTGGAACCAAGAAGCGAGTGTCCAGGGTGCTAGGTTGACTATCGTGACAGGCTGTGGAAGCTGAAAGCCGGAGTTCGTACGATGGTTTATAATCGAAGGGAATGAGAATTTGAGGCTGTGCAGCACGCCCAGAAGACGATGGTCCCATCGCATTCAACTTAGTAGGGCTGAGATACGGATACAGGGCGATAATCCCAAGGTAGAAAATCAGGTGTGAGGTCTGGTATGCTACGTGAAACGAAAGGAGCCAAAAAGAAACAAAAGGCTGGGGGGTTGGATACAAAAAGCATAAAAATAATGGACGAACTGGGGTTTGAACCCAGGACCCTCCGCAAGCAAGGTAGATGTTTCATGCGAAGCGGACATTCTACCACTGAACTATTCGCCCTTTGTTCTGGTTGATGAGTGCCGCGGAAGATGGAAGCCATCAATGGGACGGCCAGCACTGCGGCAGGACGAGGGCATGGAGTCTGACCTTCCAAATCGTGGTGTTATCACTAGCCAGTCCGCCAGAAGGGCAGGCGGGCGGCCCCCGTAAAAGCTGGGGCGGATGGACTGCCCCCCACCCCCCTTCCTGCCTGGTCCGCAGTCCTGACTTCGCTGACGACACCCCAGACGAACGAAGGAGCTTTTATTTGGAATGGAAGGTTCTGATGACGGTGCACGAAGTTGCTGCTGCAGCTGGAGCCACAAGTGTCGTTACCCAGGTAGATAGCCCGGTATGTATGGAAGGAGCTGCTCAGCTTTGGGGCATCCTCTTGCTCTCGGCCTACCTCAGCATGTGAAGTCAACCACCAGCCTCACCTCCACTGACCTACCTTCACCTCAAGTCAACGTTCTCCCACCATTCGAACTTCACTCCCAAAACATCTCTCTCGACGCAACCCATCACAACAGGTCACCAAGTATCTCTCCATTCATCCTCACTGATCACATTTATTCGAAATCACAATGTCGTCGCAAGCCCCCAACCGCAACCTATGGGAGTGTTTCTCAGGCATGCCAACCGAGATGCAAATTGCAATCCTGCAACACCTACCAAAGAGGAAATTGATTCTCTTCGCCCAGCTTAACAGCAGATGTTTCGATCTTGCTATCGAAATCAGATGGAAAGAAGCCGAGCTGTCTGCACTCATACAGGTGCCGTCTCGCAACGGCAGAAGGCAAACGTATGCCAACCACGTTAGGACTCTCCGAGTTAGATAGATATCCTCAGAGACTTTGCCAAGCGTGTTGGCTCTCAGCTTCCCCAAGCTTCGATCCCTGAAGAATTTTAATATCACTCGGTGCGACGCAGCTGCTTCGGATCTCGTTCGCCACTTCGCCCAGCTCAACAGAATTCTCAACTTGGAGATTTTATCCTCCCAGTGGGTCCCTGAAACTTTCATCGGGAAGGTTCGCAACTTCAGCCATCTGAAACGGCTTGTTATCGACTTCGCCTTGGGTTCCTCTCTCAACCTCCAGCCCCCAAACGTCATCTCATGGCCAAACTTGAAGCATGCTTTGGTGCGATTCGGCAGCGGCAGGCCTCCTGAAAGCCTGGTTCAGGATTTTCGAAAATGCCCCGCCCTTGCGAAATTGGAACTCAAAACGGGGCAGCTTCCTAGATTGATGCTTCTCGAGCCGTCGGTTGCTAGCGGCGCGGCCGGTTTTGAAGCACTTCGGCACCTTGACATTCGCATCAGCCACCACGCTGCCATTCAGGAAATCTCACGGCTCACTGACCTTACTAGCCTGAAAATAGATTTAGGCGACACTGTTAATTTCCCTCCCACCAGTTTCTCCCAACTCGCGAAGCTTCGGGACTTGAGGAGTCTTTCTCTTACCAGCACGAGACAACCCAGCCTGCACCCTCTTTTCGACCGGGAAGTTGAGCAATCTGATATTCTTGACTTGATTCGTCACCTCGGCAAGCTGGATTACTGCAGCTGGAATCTCGAAGGTGTTGTGGACACCCATGGACTTATCGAGGGGATTGCGCGCCTTCAGACGAATTTGCAGAAGACTTATCTCGGTTTCGCCGTGCACATTCCCGATAGTTTCGAGCGTAAAGACGTTACGATAAAGACTCAGAAAAGCCTCCGGGTCCTTCGTGTACGAAATACGCTGTTCGACACATACCTTCCTGACCACAAGGCGACGGACGTGGCTGCTCGAACAGTCAAGACTTTGTTCCCATCACTCAAGGTTTTCGAAGTGGAGGCGGAAGGCTCCATAGAACACTGGGGAAGCCTTTGACTACAATTTTCAACAGCTAGGATGACAGTGGACTGCTCTGGGTTTAGGCTTTCAAACACGAAGGATGGTCTTGTCTGGCGGATATTCGTAGGGGTCTGCTTGGTCACGAGGGGCCTGAGTCTGATCTCGAGAATCACGAAAACACTTGGAAACCCCTGGCGGTAGACATACCTTCTCGCCTGTGTAATTTACGCCCAAAAGATTGGGGAAACGGTGGGTCTGTACCAGCGTTTACAGGACGGTATGCACCTTCGCAACCAAGGAGACGGTCTTCGGAAAGATTAGCGTAATATGCATTGAAAGGGAGATAGGATTCAGCGACTTCAATGCACAGCAATGACGGCCATGTGAACAAGTTTAGGGCAAAGTTTCATCTCGCGTGACGTTGGGTTAATGCCTCATTTCAAAGCAAGAAAACCGCAGATGGTTTGTGTTCCCATATCCTTTGCAACGCCATAGACTGACGCGATGCGAGGAAATCTTCACCTCTTCCTTCGGCAACCAACGCCGATATCTTTGCCCAGCCTAGACTATCTGAACCATACATCCCTAGGTGGAGGTCACACACGGGGCGGCAAAATCCCCGCATTTTGGACATCCCCAAGGAAGACATTCATCCATCGTCTTGGCAAATCCACTTTTGTCCCCAATCCCAGGGAATCTAAACCATCTAGCCCAATCGACTTATCTTGCCAAGTCGCCAAGCGACCAGGTCTTCGTGAAATCGCCGGTTAAGGAAACCCGAATGACTTGAGTGAATTGAGGTTGCTGTTGCCGCCTGTGAGCCTCTTTAGATGAGCGAACCCTCCAATGTAGCCCGGCAAGTTTCTAGCTGCTGGAACTCTTCCAACAATATTTGCTCGATATTGGGATCCAACGACCTTCTACGTGTCACCTTTGAGCCTGAGTATGACCGACAGCACTAAGGCCCCCGATGCCAAAGATACGATGCCGCCATCTCCGCGGGCAGATCCGCCCAAAGGGTTTATGGCCGAAGATGTAATCAAGCCCGATGACGAACTCGACGAAGATGAGGAACTGGCCGTTGCGCTACAGAATCATGTGCCTGATACCGCAGAGGAGAAGCGTCTCGTCCGGAAGATAGACTTCGTGCTGCTTCCATGCCTTTGGTGGATGTACGTGCTAGCCTACCTCGATCGGGGGAACATTGTAAGAAGGCATCCCGTGCAGTCATGGTCCATCATGGAGAGATGCTGACATGATTTTGAGGCCAATGCGAATGCTGCCGGTATGAGCAATGACCTTCAAATGGCCGATAATGGTGGGTTATTTGCATGCTTGAGAATCTTGCGGCAAACTGACGGTTTCGTTGCAGACTACTCGCTGCTGGTCTACCTTTTCTTTGTAGGGTACTTTCTCTGCGAGGTCCCTTCAAACATGATCATGAACAAATGTCGGCCTTCTATCTACCTTCCCACCATTGTCTGGGTCTGGGGTTGTGTCGTTATTGGTCTATCGCAGACAAAGAGTTACAACGGCTTTTTAGCCGGCCGTTTCATCTTGGGTTGCATTGAGGCTGGTCTATTCCCAGGTGCTATCTTTCTCCTGACCTGCTGGTACACAAAGAAAGAGATCGGTGCGTTCTCCGAGACAAATTGAAAGCCGTTGCTCACAATACCACAGGCAAACGGTTCTGTATCTTCTACACGTCTGGCTGCATTGCCCCAGCGCTTGGTGGTATCATGGCTGGCGCCATCATGAAAGGTCTCGAAGGAACGCGCGGAATTCCTGGATGGCGCTGGCTTCTCGTCATCGAAGGAGTTCTCACAGTCGCTTGCGGGTTCGGGCTCTATTTTATTCTCCCCGATTATCCCCAAAATGCGCGATACTTCTCGTCGGAAGAGCGTCGCCTCGCCAGGATCCGGATTCTATTCGACCGCCAACTGAGCGTCCACGCCACGACTCGCCGGATGACCTCGTGGGAAGCGTTCAAGGCGGTGGTATGCGATGGCAAGACGTGGTTCTTCCTCGTGTCGTACAGCATCATCATCCTCGGCATGTCCATCTCGTACTTTGTCCCGACCATCCTCAAGGCGATGGGCTACACGAATGTTACGGCGCAGTGGATGACGGTACCGATCTGGATCACGGGTGCGGTGTGCCAGCTGGCGTTGTCGTGGACCTCAGACAAAACCCAGGACCGTCGATGGCACAGTGTCGGCCTGTTTGGACTCGCGGCCGTCGCTTGCCTCGTTTCGGCAGTCGTCAAATCCGCCATCGCCAAGTACGTCATGATGTGTCTGCTCGTGGCGGGACTGTATACGGGTCTGCCGCTGATGCTCAACTGGACGAGCGAGTCGATTCCGTTTCCGGACCAGAAGAGGTCGGTGGCGATCGCGATGGTCAACTCGTTTGGACACCTCGCCATCATCTACGGGAGCTATCTGTGGCCCAGCACGGGTGCGCCACAGCACTTGGTCGGGTTCTCGACTTTGACTGCCACCTGCGGCCTGGGGGCCCTGCTTGCCATCGCGGCTCCTTGGGTTTTCAGGCTTCTTCCGAAACAGCCAGTGACGAAGGTCGAGCGCGAAATCATGGCCCTGAATGAGCATGGCTCTTGACTTGTCACGTTCGCAGAATTCCGCAGACGGCTGGAAGGTTTGCCAACCAGGGTTTCCTGTTTGCTGGAATTGGAAAGGAAGAAGGGTGGTGCCAAGGCAGCTTCAGGAAAGCCCAAAGCGGCCGTGGCTCCCGAGGAGCACTTGCCGTGCCCACGATACCTTACCTTAGTTAATCTTGCCTGCCTTATTGGAAATTTAAACGCTCTCTCGAGCTTTACGCGCAGGCGTCACTGCCACTGCATGCTCCAGCCTGTCGTTTTTTCTCAAGTAAGTTTGGAAGCAGCCCAGCCTCAAACTTCCCTCCTTCATATCAACAGCAAGCACGAAACAACTGCACCTACCTCAGCCAATTGACCCGACGAGTCTGCCACATTTCCAATGACACGCCTCTGCCTCGACTCTCCCCCCTCCTCCGACCTTTTTCCTCCGACATCATCACTGCAATATCAACATCGGGCGCAAAGATAATCCATCCCATTCCGCATTGCATACGTACTTTATCAAAGCCGTTTTCGCAACTCCATTCGTACTTCACTGAGACCGAACTCCGCTCGGATTACTTCCTCGACACAACCACTCCATCCATACCACCCCATTTCTCCCAATATGCGTTGCGTTTCTTCCGACAACGGAGCTGCCAGCTCGGGCTCTGGGGAGCCGACAGCACTCGAACTGTTCAACAGCAAATATCCCACCTCGGGTTCTCAGAAATCGACGAGATCTGCACCTACTAACAACAGTGCTCCCAAATTGGGCTCCCGGAAGTCGACGAGGCGCGGAGCTTTCAACGATATTCATCCTAGCTCGGGCTCTCAAAGGTCAATGAAGTCTGTACCTAACACCGACAGACTCCCAAAATCAGGCTCTCGTGAGCCGACAATATCCAACGTTTCCGGCACCCAATGTATTCGTCTTCTCAATGTGCAAGAGTACCCCCTACTACAAGACCTCCACGCCTGGGGCACCCGCATCGACGACTGGATCGGGACCATAACTCCCCATCCACCATCTGTGGATGACGACGTCGATGCCATCACCCCTGCTCCTCCCCGTCTGCCTTCTGCGGGTGATGACGTCGATGCCATTACTCCAGCCCCTCCCCTTGCGCATTCCCAGGGTTCAGACGCATCATCCAGCGAGACGAAGATTACTGATCCCAATGCAAGCAAGAAGCCTTCTCTTCCCGAGTCTTCTTTACCGAAAGGTGCAAGCGACAGTGAAAAGAAGCAGAAGCCTGGCAACACCAACACTTCGGGTGCCACACAGCCTAAGGTGGAAACTACCAAGGATGTACATCCCCCAAACGAACCCGCGGATGTCGAGAAGCGCAAGAATCTGTAGCGCAGAATCTTGGCGGTCCTGAAAGGACACGTGAAAGAGGCTGATGGTTAGTTTGTTTCCCACCTTTGACATATTGCCAGCGTTTCTGACAATATTTCTGCAGAAGCTTCCATCCCTTCCAACTCTTTTTCTGCAAAAGTCCCGAGCGTTGACCCCAAACCATCCAAAGTCCAGACCTTTCTCAAACTATTCAGCAGAACAAAGGAACCAATCCCAACCGAGAACCTCCTAATGCCAAGAGAAACCGGCGGCAATTCCCAATCAGCCCAGGACGATGATAGGGATGAGACACCCGCCACAAAAGGAGGGAAAGGTCAGCGAAGGCTGTTCAAAAGACGGGAGGAATGAGTATAAGTTCAGTTCCGGGACGATGATGAGTTCATCTACAGCTGAGAGTCTTCATCTCAGCGGCGATCTGTTGATCCTGCGCTACTGCTGGTGCTTGTTGAATGCACCAAAAACAGCGACGGTAACGATGCTCGGGGTTGGATGAATGTTTGGTCTCAGCGACTCCTTGCGTCATTGTCTATTGGTATATTTCAAATGAAGCGTTTTGTGTCCGTACCCTTTCTTGTCCTTGCTGCCGCTGGTGATTGCTTGAAAAATGAGATCTTCAAAAGCAACATTTACTTTGGCATCTGGCCCTGTCGTGCTACACCCCCAATATGACCGTCCCGAAACACAGGAAGTGACCGCTTAACCTAAAACTGCTAAACAAATGGTATCGATTGCGGAACTTCATTACTTGTGACATGATGCCTCATAAAATGCTTCATCTGTTGGTTCGTGTGCTAAGAACCAAACCTGTCGCTCAAACGCTCCTTTTCAATTGACAAGAAGTGCAGGTCATCCTCGAGCTTGGAAAGGTCCTCCCTTGCACGCTCCAGTGTTGCCAACGTCTCGTCCACGGCGGCCTGGGCCACCCTAAGCTCTCTTTCACCCACCCTTCTCGTATCCTGTAGCCGTTCTGTTTGATGTGCTGCTGAGTCCATCTTGACCCTGACGGCCCTCTTCAGGGCGTCGAAGAGCATGCCGGGTTGAAGGCCCATGTCTGTCTCCTCCGGCGGCTGAGACGGCGATGCCAGGGCTCGACCCATGTCGTTGGCGCTGTGGTCGTCGTGCGCGTGAAGTACGGCGGGGTATCTGGCAACGAGATCGTCAAGGCCTGCGAGGAAGCCCTGAAATTGGTCCATCTGGGCGGCGACGGCGTCCCCCGATGAGAGACTCTCGAGTTTGGCGCGGGCGGCCTCCAGGTGTCGTTGCTCCTGAGCATACTCGTGCTGGCGGAGCTTGACCGTTGTCCGCTGTATGTCGACCCTGTACCCCAGCTTCTCGATGTCGCCCTCGAGGTCGGCCATCATGCTCTCCCGCTTCCTCTTGTGGCGCTCTACTACCGTGATGCCTTCTGTGTCGTCAGTCATGGGGGTCGTGCTGCTCTCGCTTCTCCGCGGCGGGTCCGGGGGCCTTGGGCGGTGTTCTGGCGGGTTGTTTGTTCTTGATGTAGTCCCCGGCCATGGCCCTTGCGGGGTTGACGCGGGAATATGGGATTCGGGGCGGAAACTGTTCCAGGATGATGAGGACGATGTGGTGGTGGTGGTGGTAGTAGGAGCGGTGGTCTGCGTTCTTTGTGGCGGTTCGGTCATGGCGCGGATTGCCGAGGTATCGGTCTTGAGTGACGTTATTGGAGGTGGCCTTTGCCGTGGTGATGCGACGCCCGTGGTGTTTGGTTCTGGGTCGTCGGTGGTCCTGGTGGGCCTAGACCGTGGCAATTCCTCTGCTCTCGTGTGTGCCACCGAGTTGCTAGAGGTCCTTGCTGTCGTGGGAGACCGGGCTCTTGGCGGCGGCGCGGCCATGACGTTGGTTTCTCGACGGTTCGTCTCTCGATAGTTGGTCGCTCTAGCGAGTGTGCCGGTTTTCGTTTCTGGAATTTGGACCACGATTTCGCTTGCCGGGCTGCTGTGACGTTGACCGGCAGATGATGATGGTTGCTGTGAGTATTGCGATTGACGCGAGTAATCCCGTTGATGTGAATGCTGCGACTGACGTGAATGTTGCGGTTGATGTGAATTTTGTGATTGACGGGAGTGTTGGGGCAAGGCCCAAGCCGGCGTCTGTGATGGCAGGCCGTGTATTGGCGATGAGCGGGCGGGAGTACCATCTTCGTCCCTTGGCTGGAAAAGTGTCAGCGGTGATTCTGAGATGTTTGGTCCCGGCGACGTACCCCAAGACTCATCCGACGATCTCCATCGTCGAATGTTGACGGGCCGGCGTCATAGTAGTCACTGCGGCTGCCGGCTGCGGCGTTGCGCGCCAGGAGTTGGAGGGCGGTGGAGGACCATTGTAACGAAGGCCCTGTGCGTGGGTTGGAAGACGGGGCGGTGGTGATGGAGGTCGAGGCGGAGGTTGAGGCGGGGGATGATGCCGTACTTGGGTGATAAGATGAGGCGTCGGCGGAGAGGTCCGGACTCGGCCCGGGTGGATAGGGGCGGGTGTAGTCGGGGGTTTCCGATACCCTGTCCAGGCGCCTCATCGGCTGGTTCGCCGCCGGCGAGGGCGAGTACTGGCTGTAGACGTCGGAATGCCCTCGTATTTGAGCTTCCTGTGCAGCATGTCAATGACGGCTGTCGTTGGGCCTTTCACTCGGACACGGGAGACATTGAAGCCGAGCTGTGAGGGTTGGACGTGTTTTCGGAACGGACCTGTCTATCAAGAACGCGCATGACATCAACATCACTCAAGTGATCGCGACGGATGCCCCTATTGCGGGTGCGGTTGGCCAGGCGGGCTGTGACTTCGTTTGACAGCAGGATGCGGGCTTGCTCGAGGTTGACGAGGCGGCAGAGCATGCACAGGTGTTTGCGCAGGTTGTTGCTCCAGGAGCGCGGCGACAGCTCGGGGCCGAGGATGTCCTCGAGGCGGGAGATGCGCCACGTTGATAGGACTTTTTCGGCCTGCGCCTCGGTGAGGTTCATCGCGACGCAATCGTGCGCGCACGCGCGCGAACTCAATTAAGGTCGTCGTTCGAGTTGTGCGGCGGCGGCGATTGATGAGATGCGACGCCGAGGGCGGTGGACGGGGCGGGTGGGTGAGCGAGCGAGTGACGTGGAGTGAGTGAGTGGGTGGCTCAGTGAGGGTGGATTGAGCTGGCACACCGCGACGAGGCGAGGGCGGGATGGACGCTGGAGCCCATCACCCTGCAGTGGGGACGGTTCAGTGGTGGTTTAAGGCACAGTGGAGGTGCCCAAGCGGTGCCCCGGGGAAGACGGGAGCCCGTCCGGGAACACTTGGTTGTGATCAGGCTGTCGGATTAACTCATCTACGGGGGTTGTTCCGAGATGGGCCGTCCAGTTGAGGTGAGTCGGTAGAATTTCTTCGGTGTTCATGCAGCCCGCCCAGAGGGACTGTTTGTTTGTCTGTTGGTTGGGGATGAAAATTGCCCTTTTAGAGTTCGACATCACGTGATATCGTGTTTGATTCATATTAAGCTTTTCTTCCGCTCCACAGCCGTATTTAGCAATGTTGCACCCAGAGTCAGTCGTCCCGGTCTAATGTAAAATTCTACGGCGACCGGTGGTCCCGCAGAACCCCGAATTCTCGGACCGGACACAACACTGCAACTGATGACAACTTTTGAGGGAGGAGTCCTCAGTTGCTCACTTCAAGCAATGTAGAAGTCATCACTTTGACCATTAATCCGACCTGTGCCCCCCGGTACCTGGCTATTGACAAGCATTGCATTCCCAGATGAGTTGATATCCGTCGTGAGATCCCACGCCACCTCCCGGGTGGCGCCCCGATGCAGGGCCCACATCTGCGGCAACCGAGCCGGAACACCAGTGCAGCTCGGCCACGGCGGTGGGCCAACAAATCGGAGGAAGGCGCAATGAGTGCAGCATTTCAGCTGTGCCTGCCTGCCCTGGTGAATTTGGACGCGACTACACCGCGATCGATTACTACCTTAGGTATGCAAAACACTCACTCACCTGGAAGGTGCACCTGCGATCGTTTCGTGGCAGTCGGCGGGCGACGCAGAAACATGCTCCCCGCCAACAACACCTCCAATCTCCCGGTCCATCACGAATAAATCTCGCCATTCAGCCCTGAAAAATACGTCACTGCAAGCGATCGTAGGATCAACTTCACAATCATGATGCCTTACAGTATGCTCTCCCTCCATAAATTTCCCATTCTTTGCAGTCGACTGACCCGACAGACAGCCAGACTGCAGCCAAGAATCATCTACCACACCGCCGGTTTCCACGTCCTCAACACCGACGGCGACGTCAAGAGACAATCCAGACTCGCTGTCCAAGACCTTCGGCACCTCTTTCCCAACTCTTCCGTCACCGTTGAGACTGTCTGGCACGGCGACACTGCACATACCGTCATCGACATTCAAGGCGGTTTCATCGACAGCGACAGGTATGCCACGGGGTTCGAGATCATGAAGGACCTTTTCATGGGCTACTCCATTTCTACGTCGACCACCGAGCTGCCAATTCTTGTCGAGTAAAGGTGCGACGGCTCCCGCTGGCTTCCATCAGATTGAGTGGGGCGAAGGGCGACGGAGACAAGCAAGCACCGTCATGGGCATAAAGGGCCTCGAATTTGGCAAGGCCGAGGATATACAACAAGGATAATGAGGGATGGGTTAACCAACATTCCTTCTGGGCGCGATGAGCGGCTTTCAGAGCATTGACGTGAAATACGGATGGGATTTAGCCACTCGTACAAGACGTCGAATATATCACAAGAAAGTAATCTGTTCCACCCTCCACAACGGTACCTGCATGCGGTACCCGATGAACGTGACGTGCGAGTCAACAGTCCTGACGTGGGCATGATTCATTTTGCGGGTTCACCGCTGCCCGACCAAAGCTCCCGTGGCTGCAGTTACTTTGGGGAACACCCGCATAACTTGAGATAGATGAATAAGGTAGTTAATGAGTCACAAAGAGAACCAATAATTTAAATACCAAGTCCTCCATGATCATCTCGCAGCTGGCCTTGCCGAAACTCGCGGGCGCTGTCTTTCAACCCAGCCTCGCTTTCGATGGGAGCAGAAACTCTCAGTTGGTTCGGCTGACCGAATACATATACATAACCCAAGGATATCAGGCCTAGGATCGCCTCGATTGAATGTTTATCAATGACGATGCTCTCCAGACCGTCAGCCGGGACTTCTCTGTTGATGCCGACGGGAAGGAAGCCGAACCTCGCCATCTATCGCCAAGAACTTTTAACGGCTGAAGGATGGTGCAGCATGGGAGCGCATTCATCAGCAATAAAAGCAGCCAATGTCTTAAGAACTATATTTAGCCCTTCCACGTCAAGTACGAAGTACTACAAAGCCTTCATGATCGACAGGACCCAATAATCAATTACGACCAAGCGAAAAAAACATGTCACAAAACAAAAGATTGATCTGACCCGGGATTGAACCGGAGACCTTCAGTGTGTGAGACTGACGTGATAACCACTACACCACCAGACCAGTTGCTCCTGTTGACAGACGGTAGACAGTGAGGGGATCTTGAGGGCTGGCCTGTGGCTTCGGTTGCCTTGTGTGCAATCGTAAGGACTTGAGTGCCCTCAGGCGGCATTACCAAGGGGGACTGCTCGTTTGAGAAGGGGAATGATGTTACCTCTTGTTAGGCACGAACTAGGCGTTCCAGTAAGTCCGAATCGAAAAGGCTTACCTTGTCATAAGTGCTGAATTTCGCGATGATTCGAGACGTGACAATTTGCAACTGGAGACTTAGCTTGGCGGACCTTTTCTGTGTTTTGACTAAGAGAGATGAGGTTGTCACGAGAATGTTCATTCACCAGGCGGGTAAGGAGTATGATCATCATCCTGCCTTGGATCAGCCTAGCCTTACAATCTTACAGATACCCTGTCACTGAAGTCCATAGTGCCACACCCCATACTATCGTGTTAACGCAGTCAAATCTGCCTCGGCCGAGGCGTTCTTCTCCAGCTTTGCTTTTCGCGTTGCCTGCCTCATCTCCTTCTTTGTCTGTCGAACCATCCAGTCAAACTTCAAGTCTCGCTCAATTCTGGACCTGACCTCCCTCAGAAATCTCAAATCGTCTTCCTCAAATGCAAACCCTTTCGCTCGTCGACGTTCCAATGCTTTCACGAGTGTGCGGACGTATCGGTAGTCGGATCTCCCAAACGCAGACAGCTTCTTCTGTCTTAGTCGGGGGTCTCGCGGGGGCCCTTTGATCACAACAGTTGAAACTTCCCAGCAAGTGGGTATGGTTGGTGTTTGATCGTAAGACGTTACCACATGTGCAGGAGAGCCATGGGTTGGCTTATTGTCGGGTACGTCTGAGAGTTGTGTTTGTGATGCCTCCCCTTGAACACCGTCTTCGTTTGTAATTGCCGAAAGCCATGGGCTGCTCGATGCGTTTGGAATCATCGTCAGCCCACGTAATCATTGGCCGATGCAAACGCAGGCTCCGTGACGCCAACCGAAAGAACTGTCTGACTCCTGTGAGTGAAACAGTCGCATGTATACCTTGGAATGTCGTACCTAGACTTGAGTATGAGTGGACATCGAAGACTAAGTTTGCGCGCTGATGAGCCAGACAGCGGGAACGAAGACAATGCCAAATAAAGGCTGGAGGGTCTCCCACTTATCTTTGGAGTCGCTCCCAATGTTTTGTAATGAAGCTGCCGAGGCTCTAAAAGCCTCCCCGGCAATGTGTTCATTTGCCGCCCTCCTAACCTTGCTTGGGTGCAGGGTCTTTTGGCGCCAACAGATTTAGACGACGACCGCAAGGGGCAACCAGTGCTGTATGGAAGCAAGCGGTCGGCGTTGGATCAGAATTGGGAAGGGATGGCTGGTCTCCGGGATGAACCAAGACTTCTGGACGACACCGTACGGCAGCCAATTGTAGATCAGAGCCAGAAAGACAAGGGCATTGTGTGGGGAGACTAACGTAGAGAGTCGAGCCTCCTCCCCTTACGGGTGACTCGCCCCAGTCTAACAACGCGAATTGGTTAGCGGCGTATCGGACAAGGATAACTAGAGCACCAACACGAACTCAGACCTATTGGTATCATTGCACCAGATCGATGACACGAAAAATGAACCAAGAAGCGTAGTGTCACAGTGTGTACATGCCGACCGTGCTTAGCGGACTTGGTTGCAGTGCCTCGGGAAACTGCCCATGTCGTCTCATTTCAACCCCAGTCGACAAACATGCAACAAACAACCAACAACCACTAGTGTCAGGACCACAATCAGGCTCGCATTTTTCGTTGCGGAAATAACGCGGAAACATGAGGGGCTCGTCTGAACACCGATTGACAAGATGACATTGACGAACCTGGACCGATGTTTTAGGCCTGAAGCAAGCAATTCACGGCGAGGCAAATGCTTCCTTGCCTCGAACTCTGCAATCTCGCAAACCAAGGTGTTCGGTATGACAACCATGATTCCACACTCACTCCACTACCGAGAGGTGAAAATTGGAGCACATGATGGTGACAACAGACGTGTTAAGTGAAAATACATTTTCTCCCAAACCCGCTCTATGAGCAACTCTATTCGACATTGTGGCAAAGATCTATGAATCGTCGATAGTCTTCTTTCACGCGCGGACTCCAAAATGTTTGACTTCAATCATGGGAGCCTAGCCCTTAACCTCATCGCTGCGTTGACGTTTTTAGCTCAATTCGTTGTTTTATTCTGGCTAGATAATTAAACCTCCGCCACGGCTGCTATCCTTGGGCATGAGGGATCGATGGGTAATGCGCTCGTCCATGTCAAAATCGAGGATGACCTTGGTCAGACGACGCAAATCTCGGCCAGATATTCCAATTAGCTCCAACGCCACCTTATATCTTGCATCGTCGCGGATACCTGTTCGGTTGATGGGATGCTCCTCTACTCCTTTTTGGGACCTGGGCTTCGGGGCCTGGGGCCTCCCTATCATTTTGCGTGTCTGCTGGAGACTGCCTGTCAGTCCCCGAGCGACGAGATAGTCCTTGACAAGGGCTGGATCAAGACGTCGTATCTTAGGGACTGTTTCCCAACTTGTGTCCTGAACCGAGTCCGAGTATCCTACCCATTGCACTCTCAGGCGCTTGCTTTGAGAGTCGTGGTCAAGAATTGCAAACACATTGAAGTGATCAGTCCCAATCGTCTCCTCGCGGGACTTCCCCAAAGCGCCCCAATACGCATATACTTTTGAGGGTGTCGCTTGTTGAACGATCACTTCGGGCACATTTCTGCGTGATTGATCGGTAGCTCGCTCTGTGATGAGGCTCACAGAATGGCCGTTGCCAGTTGACATATGACCGATTATTCTGTCGTCGTCGTCGTACTCTATGAAAAGTCACGGTTATACCCTGCAACGACTGGCGCTTGGGTTGATGATCATACCTTCATCCTTGGGTTCGGTTGAATTTGAGCTGATGGTGGCGGTTTTGACACGTCTTTTCTTTGAGATCTGCTTTGTTGTGGTGCCAATCTTGGCGGAACCCCGCCTTTTGGGCGGCGATTCTTCTCGCTTGCCCCCGCGACGAGGAAATGCGTCTGAACCGATCGCACTTCGGCGGTAACGGTAGTGCGTTTGCGCCATGATGATATTAACTAGCGTGCGGGGTTTTCCAGAGAAAAATCCCGCGCAAGTTTGAGCCAGCAATCTTCAAAGAAGTTTGCGAGAGTTCCAAACACAACGCGGTGCGGCACGACGCGCTACCAGCCACCGTTCTGATGCTGTGTGACGGACACTTTGGATGCCTGATGAACGTCAGCTTGACTTGATAGGCCTGAAAGACGTCACTTGCGCGAGATCCCTGTCTCGTTATTTTGTACCTAGGGCGTACACCATAACGGGGACATGCGCGCACCTCTCAGTGGTGGGAATACTTGGGAAGTACCCACACTGCGGCGTACGGGGCATTCATCACACAACATGTGCAAGGCAGACTCGCTCTCAGAAGGCTCTGAGCTAAAGTCTGACAAACATAGTCTCTTCCCTTTCTGCGAGTCACGGGAACAATTTCCTATGAAAAGACGACGTGTGGCTTGCCTTTTTGCAGTGAAGACCAGCACGCATAGTTGGTCTGGGAGGGAGATGAACACCAAATTCAATGGATTTAACCGCCGGCATTAATCTTGTCAGGGTCGTCAAACGCCGCTAGTACCCTCATTCTAAAGGCTTCAGGAGATGACAGGCATTGCAAAGGTCGGTGGTGACATTGAGTACGTTTAGCCCTATTGGTAATATTAAAAACGATTCTCTCTACTATACTCTTATCCTTATTACTACTACTGCCGATGCTACTCCCGTTGTCTTCACCATCGTCGTTGTTGTCATCTTCGTCTTTGCCGTCTCCGCTCTTATTACTATGCTTCTATTGGATTTGGTTTGCTCTAGCAGTTGTTTGTACATCGGTCCCTGACAGATCGGTCTGATCGTCTTGAATCGGGACCGCAATATCCGTCTCTTTTATTGATGAATCTCTGTTGCCGCATCGTCGTCTACTGCAGAACGAGTAGCTTCCCAACCGAAGGTCTGTACCTGGCCACAATACGTTGGTCGACTCCGCTAAATTCATACCGAGGTTTACCACCTGATGATAGGTGTACGGCAGGGTGACAATCAATTCCCCAGGTTTGCAGACGACAATGTTGTACTTGATGCCCCAGCTGTCTAGTGTCTCCTGTGAGAATAGTATATTTGCATGCCGGATGAACTGCGAACACGTCTTGCGCCCATATGAAGGTCGTCGGCCACCGCTCGTTTTCCCGCCTAACGTCCTGGAAGCAGCGAACTCTTCGAGCCTCCTTGATGAACCAGGCTCAATGATCAACCATGTCTTTGGTGAGCCCCAGCGGACCATGTTGACAGAGGGAAACCCCGCATCTTCGATGTGCATTGGTGTACAGGTACCTCCATCTTTGGCGAAGTAAAAGTAGGGAGCCGTAATTCCAGGGTAATGGCGTTTAGGCTCAAGCAGATGCTCTAGATGTGGTCCACAGGTAAGGTATGTCTGCATTTGATTCGAATGCTGCACCGACTCCCAATCTCCGAGATAGTAATCGCATGGTGATGAGGGCTTTTGAGAAGCCGACGAGAAGACAGCGTTTTCATCCACATCGTCGGCGTCGTGGAGAGGAATATTTATGCTCTGATCGAATGCTTTGGCGCTGAACAGAATCTGAATGTTTCCATCTTGGCCAATCGGGGAGTAAGTCGCACTATAATGGAAAACCATGTTCTCATTGGATTTTGGAGCTATTGTGATGAAGTTGTCGGAGGGTTCATGGTAGTCGACGACCTTAACCTTTGCAAAACCTTTTAGAGTCACTGCTTGATCTCCGCACAAGGTGCCCAGTGTATCGCTTGTGCTTTCGCGAAGATCTGCGAGCCTACACGTAGGGTCATCTTGGCTAGAACGCTCAAAAGCTTAGTGACGTAACCCAGAAACAGGGAGAGACGGGGGAGAAGCTGACATTTGGAGTCGTTCATCATCGTCAGAGATTCTGCCCAGGCCAGCCATTGTTGGACACTTCAAATGCTCGTGTGAAATTGGCAACGGTCTCAAATTGAGCTTGCGTGTGACCAATGATTGTGCTCAGTGTCATAAAATAGGTTCGACGCAGAGCAATGGATAATTATGAAGTGAATTGCTTCTTCTGAAGGGTGAGAATGGATTTCAGAGTTCGGGCCCCATGATGGTCCGATTCTCGCCTTCCAATTTCCTGGGACTGGCTTTATGTACGTAAACATTCTCCTGGCTATCAAGGTGTCTAAACAACCGATGGCGTCAATATTGCATGTATAAAGTTCAATGGCTTGAGGAACGCAGGAGTGAACAATGGCTGAGCTGGTGGACCTGCAAGATATCGTTAAATGCAATGTGCTTTGAAGCTGGCTCTCTGTTACACCTGCATTCCCGCTTTTTACGGACTCAGCCTACAACTTTGGACCACGGATGAGTGACGCTCTGCCAGTGCCTATGAAACAATTGGAGATGGCTAGCAATAACTTCAACAATTGGATCACGCATCCTGTCTCTATTCGCACCCGCCCAGGTCAAAGGTCCACGGAAATGGTTTATAACTTAAGGCATTGCCTTCTTTACTCCTGGTTCAAGTCGTTGTCTCACTTGGCGCATGATTATTTGTTGGGGCCGCCGACTAATTACGCATCCTCTTGGATAGTAAACAGCAATTTGATAATGTCTTCCTGTATCTTTGGCGTCTTGAAATGCTCGAAATGTCCATTTGCCCTTTTCTCTCGGTCAGAGCTTCCTGTAAAGCTCGCTCTGGGACCAAGCCAGAGAGGATTTTGATTGTTACTCCTTTTCCAACTTTGCTCGTCATCGAGTAAGAAGCCCGAAGATGAAAGCTCAGGGAGAGGCAGAGGTGTGGACAAGGCTTGATGTTGCTTGCACATAAGGTATGCTGCAGACGATGTTTCTATACATCCAGGTCAATATCACCACTACTTCTTATGGCGCACGCGACAGCGGTCACTAGTTTAACTGTCCGTATTGATGCGAAGGCCTCGACCTCTTGCTCATGACGAGTATCTCCGTCGACACGCCGTTCGCATCGATCCATTTGAATGGAAAATCTTGTGCCGGGGAGCGGATAATCGCTGCTCCATGAATGTGTGGAACCTCCACAGAGGTCTGATCTGAACGCTGCGCATATCAATTTGCTTCGGCTCAAGGGTCAGTGAGTGACTCAACCCAAAGCTAAATGCTGTCGACTTGAGAATCCCACGGTGAGTCGGTAAAGAAAGGCTGAAACACGACCCATGGTCGATGCAGTCTTTGGTGTTTCAATAGTATTGAATTGAGACCATGGGGCGACGCAAAAGGCCCATCATCCAGATTCAGTTAAGTTCTTCGCTGTCGCCTCCAGCGGATGCAAAGTGGGTTGTCATGGGCCGGGGTATTGTTAGGGTTGAATGCGGATGAGTGGAGTTGACACCGCGAGAACGATTCTGAGAGGCTCTGATTGCGTGGCGGTGAGGCAACTCTCGCCATTGACGTACCAATAGGAACAAGTACTCACCGAACGCATCCTGCATCACGCTAGTTGCGCGACAATCCATCTCGTCAGCGGCCTGGAATATCCACTTTGTTTGTTGGCATTTGGGCACACCGGCATCTGCCATTTCCCGCCCAAAGAAAATGACACCTCCAGAACACAAGCTTCAGGTGCAGAACAAGAACACCACAGCGCAGAAAGTCAACATCCCCAAGCCAAACAGCCACGAAAACAGAGAGTCAACTCCATCCGACCATATAACCCCAAAACCGCAATCATGACGAACGTCGAAAACGGGTCCAGTCTCCACCTCAAGACCCTGAAGACCAACGTCCCAAGCGAGTATGCCACTTCAGGCAGGGTCCGACAGTGGCTTCTCCAACACCTCGAGAACCGCAATGTCGACCTGGTCAATGGACCGGAAGCATTCGTCTGTTTGTGGAATGGCTCCGAGCTTCACTCGCTGCATCCAAACCACATATTCGGATCTCTTATCTCCCAGGGGATTGCCCCGCAGACCGCCCACCATATCGTCGGAGATATGATGGAATGTTTAGAGGTATGACGCCGTACCTCATATTGTTTCCATCTCTCAGATGGGTTTCTAATGCCTCCTCAAGGACTACCGTGCCAGACGCGCGGCCTGTGTGGCCTCTGGCCAAGTTTGGTTTCCCGACCCAGACCCGGAGCCAGTGTCACAGCCAAAGGGGCGGCCTGAGCCGGAGGAGCGACAACTTCGTCTTGCCGAAGATTGCGAGGCTTTGCCAGAGCAGACGGAGAATTCCCAGAGTTGGTATTCTTCCCTGACAACTGCCAGGGGTGGGGTGCTTGCAGCTGGAGTTTCTCTGGCAGTGGGACTTGGGGTTATGACATGGTATTTGGTCAATCCTCCTTCGAAACAAGAAGATAAGAAGTAGAGTTCAGAGTAGCTCTATGACTCAGACATACAAATCTGCCATACATCAAGTGCCTCTCACTTGCTTCAAGTCCGAAGACATGTGCGATTTGTCAAATGCAAAAATACTATGTACGACTGTTCGACGACCTTTATGAAATAGAACTTAAGAAAAGCACGTCGCATTGCTGCTAGGATTTCATAAGTGAGGATTGGGCTTCGGATTTCGCGTCTGATAAATGATTTCTTGCAAATTATTCTGCTCCGTGACAGATTTCGCTCCATCCGGCTTTCGTAGATCAAAAGGACTGAAGTTTTTCAATGCTATTTTGTCGAATTTGTTGCGAAATGCACCAAAATCCCAGCATTTGCCCCAGGTATTGGCATCAGGCAGTGGTATCTCCGTATGCTCATACCATTGGTATACTTGGAAGCAAATAATCAGTATCTCGCGTCTTTGATGAAATTGTGACTTACCATAAAGTCCAGGGTCTCCTGCGCAGGTAATATGGTCTAGAATCATTGCCAAGCAGTGCGCGATGTGATGTCCATGCATCGGAACTTGTTCTGTGCCGTTGGGGTAGTAGTAATCTTTGTACAATGCTTTCCGGATGTAGTCAAGACAATGAAGCCTGTGGAAAACAAGTGCGTGCGCAAGGTAGGTCTGTTCGTTATCGAGGTGGTACTCTTCGGGCAGCATCACGGCCACTGAAGGATCCTTCCTCATGGAAAGTATCTCTGCGGCGGTCACTGGGATGGTAGCTTCCGTCGTAATTCCCTCCCACATCTTGTCAATGTCAGGATTCGGCTGAGAGCCCCAGGTCATGTCGCCGTCGCCACCCTTGATCGTCTGTGGCTGATCAAATCGAAGAACATAAGGAATATCGATGCGGTCTAAGAGCGGAGCTGCGGAATTGGAAAATTCAGAGACGTGCGTAGCATCTTGTGACAGACGTACTAACAGTAGAATGAAATATCTTTCAATGACTTGTTGATTGGCTGTTCGCGCCACAAAAACCAGAAACCAGCGGCCGTTGAAAAGAGGAAAAGATGAGTGACTGTGAATATTTTGACCACTTGTTGGGTAGTCCATGTATGACTATGTCGATCGAGTGGCGCAAGTTCTATGCCATCATCTTCGCCGCATTCTTTGTCCAATGGGGCATATTGTGCTTCTGTATTTTCGGTAAAATCTCGGTAGGTGTTTAAGATCATTGCAGAAGAGGTATTTTGCCGAAAAATAAGGCAAAGATTGCTTGACGGTGCCCACAATGATAGCAAGATTCAGAATCATTCAATCTGAATATATGTAGAGCCCCTCGGTGTCAGTCCAAATAATAAAACAGTCTACAGGCCAAATAGGAGGGATTGCAATTCAGCCATAACACAAACTTCTCGTATCCAGTCAAACAGAGGTTCGTCTTGGCAAGACATCTTGCATCATCTAACCTGCTAGCACAGTCTTGCCATTCAATGATCTAACGTTGGGGTCACACTCATGGCTCGTGCAAAACTCCCGAAATGCCCGAAACTCCCGACGTCAATGCGGAATCTCATCCCCTCAGCAGCGATATTTGAAATGCACGATGTCATGTTACGGAAGTGAAATTAATTGTCTGTGGCAATTGGTCTCTTCGACATAAGTAATTGAAGCCTCTAGACGCCAGCATCTTATGGTCGCTTTGCGTGCACAGTGAGTGGTACTACGAAGTCATCCACTTAAGTACTAAAATTAGCCCTGCAAAGGTCTCATGAGCTGCATAACATCATGTCTACAGTTAAAGAATCAAATGCCACAGTAGGCTAACCAGCGTTGAGTTCAGGCCCGAGTTTCCTGATCGCGATGACCTTCATCAGGGACATACTACTTTGTGCACAGGACGAATTTCATTGATTCCATACTTTGTACATGGCGAGTATGTATTACCGAAGCAACAGGGATTCTAGTTGAATGATATCGGGATTGGACGAATACTTCAGGATCTTCATCATCAAATACTTCGACTATCACGTTCTAAGTAATGACAAGAAAGCTGAAGGAGACTATGCAATGTAGTTGAGCCTTCCAGCCCGTTACCGCAATCCAGCTCGGTACATAGGCAGTCACTCAGGTGATTGAAATGCTAGCAGTATTGTTATCCCAGTGCTATTCGTTGAAAATCTAATCCCACGCCTTGTAGACGAGTCAATGATGCACAGCAGAAAGCTCACAAAAGCACAGTATCGCTTTCTTGCTTAAACTTCAACTTATTGGAGATTTGACTTTTCCAAAGTCCTCTTATTCGTAAATCAAGCGCTGCCAATCGCTAGGAAGGTTCGCGGCTGTTTGACCATAAAACTGTAATTGGAAAAGCCCGATCTTCGAGAACTTAGAACAGACAAAGTCCCAGAAACCATCAGCAATCATTCTGCCTACAAAATACATTGCTAACTAACCGAACCCTATCTTGGTTAGGAAGCCACACGTAACTCCAAGCGATTGGCGCGCAAGTCTGTCTATTCGATTGACCGCTGCAAACTCGGCATTGCGGAGCTGAGGGGCTTCGGAATGGTTTTTGCACTGGCTGTTTTCGGTAGCCGAAAACGTCAAGGGAAGGCGCTGACGAATCGGACTGTATCACTCCAATATCCGGACCGACAATGCTGGACCGCAGTGACAAATTTGCAAAAGGGCGAGTGTGCTCAAACATATGTTACCAGCTTAACCGTTAGTATTATTTCGTATGCTCAGGATAGTTACTACGAAGAGATGGCCGGCGATGGAGAATTCTAGAATAATGAAGGCCACAGATTTGAAGGGAGCTCTCAAGATGGAAAAGGCAACAACTCACCATGGCATCGGCGAGTGCCTAGAACATGATTCCTCCGAGCCTGGTCAACGCCTCAAAGGGAAGGATTTCCTCAGCAAATCAGATACATTTTGGTGGAGGGATCATGGAATTCGGAGTCTAAATTTGCGACTTCTTGCTGTTTTCATTAGCCCGTTGATGATTGGGTACGACGGAACCCTCATAGCATCACTTCTAACAATGCCTCACTGTAAGTTACGATACCCAAATTACTTGCACAAAATGCGCAGTGTTGATCATATTCAGGGTTTAAAGGTAGGGGAATTAGGCAGATGAACAATGAGATCAGAGGAACTGGCAGACGTTGACATTAAGCACCCAGATCTCGGCCTTAACCCGAGAGACAGCACTCTCGTCGGGCTGATGGGCGCTGGGTACTCTTTTGGAGCCATGATTGCCTTTCCTGTCTCGAGCTGGATAGCAGACACCATGGGTAGAAAGTTGATGATCATGATTGGAGATATGATTATCATTGGAGCTGGTAAGGCTTTGATACTTTTCGTAATATCTTCATTGCGCGGGACACAAGCGACTGACATCAGGGTCACAGTACTTGGCCAAGTCTTCTGTTACAACGCTCGACTTTACGTGCTTACTCGGCTCATAGTAAGTAATCTCATTCAGATACATCATCGCAAACTTGTTTACTGAAGTACCCAGCTGGGCATAGGCTCCATGTTCGTGATCGCTAGCTGTCCCGTCCTGCTCACAGAACTGGCCCATCCGCGGCAAAGAAGCTTTCTGGTAGGCGGGTATGCATCCCTATTCTTCGTTGGATCTGTTGGTAAGTTGAAAAGGTCTAGCGCTTTGAAACTTTGCTCATCCCACTTAGTTGTCGCCTGGGTCTCTTTCGGAAGCCTGCACATCTCATCACAATGGAGCTGGCGCATTCCAACAATGCTACAGCTTCTCCCACCAGCCCTCCAACTACCGCTTTTATTTCTTGTCCCAGAGTCTCCGAGATGGCTTGTCTCTCGTGGCCGCCATACTGAAGCCAAAGATATTCTCGCTCACTTCCATGCGAACGGCAGAATGGATGACGAGGTGGTGACCGTTCAGTTTGCAGAAATATGTCAAGCCATTGAGCTAGACCAACGGACCCAGCAGACAACTTGGATCTCATGGTTTCGAGGGCCTGGAAATCGCCGACGGTTGCTTCTAGTTGTGTTCTCCACCATTTTTGGGTCATGGAGCGGGGGCGGCATCATCACATTCTACCTCTCCGTGGCGCTGAAACAAGTCGGCATCACCGAACCAGCACAGCAGGCCGGAATCAATGGCGGATTACAAATTTTCAATCTCTGTGTCGCTCTTGCCGCTGCAAGCCTAGTTGAAAAACTCGGCCGCCGTATCCTCTTCATATCTTCGAGCGTAATTATGCTTTTAGCCATGATCGGGTTTACTGTGGCCACGGAACAGTTTACCAGAGAAGGGCAGTCAGCGGCAAGTAAAGCTCTCGTCGCGATGGTGTTTTTGTTCCAATTTGGGTCGGATGTCGGATACACACCTCTCACTCCGATGTACACTGCGGAGATATGCCCCTATCATCTGCGAGCCAAAGCCATGGCGCTGCATTACTTTCTTATGTACGCCTTTAGTGCCGCTGGGCAATATGCCAACCCAGTGGCCCTGCAAACGCTGGGTTGGAGGTACTATCTGGTTTACATTGTGATTCTGGTTTTTGAAGTCGGGTTTACTTACTTCATGTTCCCTGAGACGAAGGGGCAAACTATCGAAGAGGTTTCTAGCATATTTGAGAAGTAGATTTAGTTTGGCGACAAAACAATGTTAAGAAGTCGCTAACGGGAGCATCAACTGTACATAGTTTCGCGGCTGGGTGTTGTGTGATGAACATTACAGCCTGGGAGTGACGATGAGTCCGGTATAGAGGTGCGCATCGGCAGCTGGTTCATACCACGTGTCATGCGTCCAGATAAGATGAACATCAGAGCCAATGAAGTCGTTGTATAGGTTCGTAGAGGCTGATGTGCCATATGGACTTGAAGTTTCACTTGTAAATTCATCATTGATCTCTGATCTGAGCTTTTAACCGCCACCTATGCGTGCATTAGGGGTCTGTGCCAGGGTATTCACGACAAGGTTTATCGAGAAGGAATTAATGTCGTTTGTCAGGGAGCATCATGAATGGCTTGTCAATCCTGGGTCTACTGCATCAGAGTGTTTGGATGATTTCATCGCATTCGTTGTCTTGCAGATATTCCGTGCTTTCTGAATCCGATGTTTGGAGCCAACTCAGAACCTCTGGTGAATTTCTGTTACGCGGCACAGGACTCATTGCGTTCCCGCCCCTAGGACGCCTCACAAGATATGCCGGCTGTGATTGCCCATCCGTCGTCGTGAGCGATTCATCACTTATTCATCTCGGAAATTGGAACCGGTGCTCGCCTTCACCAACGGTAATCTTGAACAGAGCTCTCAAGTTTGGGTCCTTGAGCACACGACAAGCCTCCTTGTGCCCCTTTTGATTCCATCCAAGCGTCTGGCAATCTTGTGTCCGATGGTGTCAATCCCGGCGACTTACGCAAGAAGAAGACATGCACGCTCACCTTATTGCAATAGTAGTACAGTCCGCATCGGCCGCATTTGACGACACTTGGATCTTCCTTTCCACAGGAATGGCACTTCTTGAGTGTGCCAAGGGGTCCAGTGTATGCGCAAAGATCCGAATTGATGCGGAATAGTTCGGCCAGCTTGACGGGGAAGACCTGCACGGTATTAGTAATTCATGAGATCGACCAAAGCAAAAACTGCAGAGTAGACTCACGCGACAGGCACTGACGTCCTCGACGCGAACGCCTCGTGTTCCGTAGAGGAAGTGATGCTGGTAGGGTTAGAGTAGGACAATGGTGTGGCCAACCTTGAGCTTGCTTGTATCCAAGACCTCAGTGGTATCGTTGTCCGGGTAGAAAGCGATGATGAGACTCTCACCCCCGCGGTCGCGGGCAACGAGCCTGCACGTCAGAACCATCCAGGAAAGACGATCAGTTTCGTTTGCTGCCTGAAGAGTGAGCATAAAATATCGGCACAAGCAGGTACTTCTTTTTCTTTTGCCCTCTCAAACCCTTTCCTCTCGGACCTCTGTTTTTTGCTGGCGATTATTTGCTTGCTGCTAACCCTCTGCCCCAAATCAGATCCTCTTACCTTACCGCGTCGGCTCCGCGGATCCCCGTTCCTGCCAATTGCGACAAAAGTATCTCTACAATCACTTCGACCCTGATATCAACATCAGAAACGAGACACAAAAGCGACAAGAGAAGAAACGAGTCTTCCTTTCCGAAGGCAGACAGAAGCGGTTGTGATATCACCAACAGCAACAGCGAATACCAGATCACCATGGCGCAGACTGGACCCGCGTCTCAAGCCCTGCAGTCAGTCACTGCCCAAGAGCGGCAGCATCTTCGGCAGATACTGTCTTGGCAGAAGAACCCGAACGTTCCTGCGCAATTGAAGGCACAAGTATCCCACAAGCGTCTTTTTGAGGCTCAATGGATTCTAGACGAAGGGGAATTCCGGGCACATCGCCGCGAACCCTTTCCCCCGCAGTGGTTGACTGCTGCAGGCATTCAACAACCGATTGTTCAACTGCAGAATATCACGAATGGTCGGATCCCACCCTGGGCACCATCCAAAGTTCTTGGCTTTACGGCTCCAACGGGACTCAGACTTCTTGCCAACTCGACCTTGCATATTAGGGATTGGAACCCAGCTTACGACGAGATAACCAACCCGAATGTGCCAGACTCCTTCGACATCACCGGTTCTCGACAGCAACAGCACGAATATTTCGGATTCATTTACAAGTGCGCAGATCTGGCACTTTCTCTCCTTGCCACATCCACAAGCCGTGGCGCACTTGTCCAACTGATTCTTGACATTGTTACCCATTGGAACCGGCTTGGTGAGAACCACCTATACCCCTGGGATCACAACAACCCTCAGCATGACAATAAACACCTTCTCTACGTCACTGGGGCCATTCAAAAGATCAGAAGCTCATTTCCATGTGTCATTGTCGCTCCTAGTCATTTACTAGAAGGCTCCGAGGCGGAAGCTAGACGGAGGACATGGATGAGGGACCCAAGGATGACTTGGAGGAACTGGGACCCCCAGCAAGGGTCGAGGATCAAGATCAACGAAACGGTGTGTCTCAAATCTCGCTTTCTTCCGTTTCAATAAACTGACGTTCATTTTCAGTTGATTCATGCCGCTAGAGATGCGGCACGCATCGCGATGGAACCTAGTGTAACGAACTCCACCCGCCGCATTGCGTTGACCAACTGGAACAATTTCATGTTCATGATGACAATCAGCATGGCACACGAGTATGTGCATGTCATAGTTGGCGCCTTGACTGCCGGATCTTCCCCGAAGACCCCGCTGCGCGTACACTTCGACTTGGATGAGATAATTGCGGTAGACGAGGATACCCTCACACCAGCCGAACAGGCTTGGATGGCAAACCCCAGTCTGGCCTCCATACCCGCTGGATTGGAGGTTAGGGTCATTGGTGAATCTGGCTTTTCTTGGGAAAGCATGGTTCTCGGCGGAAAGATCGTCAGCTGCTTTTTGGCTTCCATGCAGATCCCGAACTCGGCCCGAAGCTCTTCATCTGGAGCACCGCACGTTGTCTAGAGGGCACAGGACGGAAGTCTTCAAGGATAGAAGCTTACAAGAGAGTACATCAAAACCTTCATCGACTATGGTAAGATTGTGGCACTGAGACATTTGTGATTTGCCGGGCTAATGATACATTCGACGTAGGATTTTTGAGAACCCTACGCCCCCTACTCCCAATCAATGGTGGTCATCGAGCCCAGGCTATCGTTAGCTGGGAGTCTATCGACAATGATGATATGACGCGTATCAGAACTTGATTTCACGAAATGCAAGAATGGGAAATGAGGCACGATAACTAGAGGGTGGCCATCATGTAGTGTTCGGAGTCCTGGCCGAGGCAGATATCATCTGCGGCAACCTTGCAGAACCAGCCACAGACTTGCATTTTGAGCTATTCAAGGCTACCTTATGCATATTTGTCAGAGGCAGAAGGACGTGTTATTCGTCATTCACAGACTGGTCAAGATGGGGGCAAATTATAACGAGGTCTCGGACGAAAAGATTGCAAGGTGGTTCGTAATCAAGAGGGAGTGGGTAGGCGCGTCGATAGACAGCCTAGGTAACCAATTCGTATACCATCATCATCGCAGCAGTTGGTAGCCGATTGTAATGAATAATGAATATGATCAAGATGAGAAGCAAAAAGGCACAGAAAGGAGAGATGGATTAGCAAGGCAATGGGAAGAATAACATACCACATTCTGTCGAATCGAGGAGGGAACCGTTGACTCGATGGCTGACCCGACCTCGACCGTCGGGCGACGATGCAGAGTCCGTAGTTTTGCTGAACAACACACTCGTCGCTGCGGCGAGAATAATCGAGGATGGAAACATCGGCATGGATTTTATTTCCGTCTTTTTGTATACGAGTATCTGCGCATAAGAATATCCAGAGCAGAGTCAGGTTATCCAGAAACAAGGTGAAACAACAGCTTTCTGGAATACTTTGCACCCTGTGGTTCGGGGTGGAATACTGAAGAAGAAACATGTCCGAGTGCCACAGGAACGCTTAAGTTGGTCTGGCTGGATCGCCTAGAGTAGCGCTACCTCCGCCTAGTCCATGAATGGAAACAGCACGAAGGGATTCCACCATATGAGCTTGTTGCGACGGATTCGGCGGGTCTTCTCATTGTTTCAATTTGACTTGTCTTTGGGTCAGCAAGCAGATGTATGAGCGAACGGAGTGGAACTTGCCTTGCGCTCAGCCTGGACATACATCTCAAGCTTGCCCATATCTCCAATGGAGACAAGTCAACATTTACATCCTCGCAAAAGTCCCGAAGATTCTCAGGAGCACTAATCTCGTCGCGTATTCGTCTTCTCAAACTCTCAATGTCATCAAAGCTGGTGTCGGCTGCAATTTGCACTGTAATGCGATCTCGTAGACTCCTGCTTCGGGACATATTGTCCACCCACATGCTGCTGAGATTGATTTTGGGAACCTTTGTCGTATTTTTGGAGTCTTCGTTTTGGAGAACGGAATACAGCCGCGAAATCTTCTCCTCGATTACCACGATGTCGCCCACGTCGAAAGGGTGCTTCACAAAGATGAAAATGCAAGAGCTGAGAAACTCCTGCGCGGTGCCTGATACAGCGAAAGAAACGACAGCAAGCTGGGTGCCAATGGTGGCGAGGTATGTCAAGAAGGAGCCGCTGCAAAAGGCGGCGTAGATAAGACCGGTGCCAATGAGGATGAAAACCTGGAGGAAGCGTTCAGAACTCGCACGGCAGACTTGATGTCATGTGTACTCTTCCAGATTGCGATGCGCTCTTGGCCGATGCGGATTCCCTTCGAGATCATCTCCTCCAAGCTGATAACGCCGTTCTGGTCTACGTCGAGCAGCGCAAAAAGCTCCTTAACATCACGAACACAATCAGCAGTAAGTGCTTTTCGAGGTCTTTTTGTGTTAGAACCTCTCCAGTCAGAGGGGCGAATGACTTCCAGATACGTCGAGCAAGAGCGTTAGATGAGGTGGCGGCTTCAAGCGCTTCTATGACAATGGTATGGGCGGCTTGGGTGTTGTACAGCGAATTATTGCCGGAAACAAGAGCTTTCATCTGGTCAAAATTCTGTGCAAACTCTTGCCCTGCCAGCCGCATATTGGCGAGAAGCTTGCTTGGTGAGCTGTGCTTCTACTTGACTTCGCCGGTGATGATGGTGTTGTCTTCTTGGACGAAGCCATCGCAAAATGGCGGTTATATGCGTGCTGAAGATGCGGAGAGGAGGTCGAGCATAGCGACTTGGCGCTTGGACTCTGAAATACGTTTGGTGAGTTGTTTTGCGGATGAGTAAGAAAGAAGGTTGATGGGCTGCATGATGAAGCGTTGGACGAGGACCATGGCGGCGACAGGAATGGAAGCCAACGCGACCTTCTGTAAGACCAATACCTAGCTGGGAGTAAGTAAATTGGAGTCAAATGCCATGCATACAGGTACGACGGTGGCATAGACAATGATGGTCCAGAACACCAGCGAGATGGAAGTGTCGATAACTCGGAGGACTCTCGTTGAAGCCGTGTCACGGGTGAGTATTCACAGAGGTCAAGTTGTCTGTATCTGTGCGCTTCCCTACATCGATCTGCTGAAGATTGTCCACTACTTGAAATGAGGTATCAGGTAGCTTTTCGTCGACAGTCTGATACTCTTCTGCAGACGAGCCAACTATGGTATGAGCCGTTCTCGTTCTAGCTGGTTTATTCCAACTCAAATGCAGACGTCCCTTGAGCTAGCACGTGATAGACCCCAGCTGGACCTGACGTGGCAGGCTCAAACGGAACTGAGGTGCGACTGAGCGTCCTGCTCGAGGTCTGGATTTGAGGGGTCGCATTCCAGATCCTTTGTGTCAAAAGGGCCCAACTGCCGGCATCAGGGAAAAAAACGATAGCGCTCAACTCATTTGGAAATTGAGGTTCAAGTAAGTCTGCGATATTCGGTGACTGGCTTTCACATCTAATTACAATTACCACAGGCACTTGACGGTATGGGGAGGTCTTGCATCAATGCTCATTGGCGTATGGCCCCTTTGTTCAGTATCTTCTCGTCGTCGCAATCCAATATCACCCACCCAACAACAACGCGCTTCTATCATATGCTTTTAGCTTTTACTTCGAACCACTTACTGGCACAGGTATGCAAATCTCACCTCAGCTTCGTAACTTTATCCTGACTGCCACGAAGGAGTCGATGCCTCTCTCACGATCAGCGTCGGGCAAGCCCTGAAAGATGCGTCCTCTGAGTGGGTCATACTTGCGTACAAGTGCAAGACTGGCAAGTGCGATTGCAACAGCTACTATACCATCGCAAGTTGCGGCTGCTGCACCGACATCACCCATCTTCTGAAGCGCATGTGTA